AGTCCTAACATGATTGATTACTTGCTTTAACCTATGATACAAAGGAAATAGTTTCAAAATACCAACATTGATGTTACTACACAGAGTAGAACTTTTTTTTTGTCTTTGGAATGCATCTTGATGAAGATGTATAGTCAGAATACTGTTTTTAAAGTCCTGGGAATCTTTTGTTTATGTGGTTATGTTATTTTGGTATACAGTTATGTTTATTTATTCAAACTTTTGAATTTAAGGGATTTTCAAAGTTCTGTAGAGAGATAAACATAGTGAACTCTTGCTTCTACTCTGTTTTATCCTGACCGTTATAAGGAGCTGTTTTCATTAGTTTCTTGTTTATCCTTCTAGTGTCGCTTTTTCCGTATACAAACAAATATAAACATATTCTTAATTCTTCCTTTTTCCTCATCCAAAGCTGACATATTTCATACATTGTTCTTTTGCTTTTCCTCTCCTTTTTTTTCTCTTTAACTTAAGAGTATATCTTGAAGGTAAATACATAGAAATTCTACACATTGCATTGTAATGACTATGTGGTATTCCATTCTTTAGATGGACCATAGTCTTTTCAGCCAGTCACTTACTGTGAGACAACTTGAGCTGTTTCTAATTTTTTGCTATTACAAACAGTGCTGAGTGAATAACCTATTATATATTCTGGGATAAAAGTGGGACTGCTGGATAAAAAGGTAAATACATTTGTGTTTCTTTGTATTTTGGGGTGGTTTTTGTTTTTGAGACTGGGTCTCATTCTGTGACCCAGGCTGGAATGCAGTAGCATGTTCATGGCTTACTTCAGCCTTGACCTCCTGGGTTCAAGTGATCCTCCCCTCAGCCTCCCAAGTAGTGGGGACCATAGGCATGCCCACCGTGCCTGGCTAATGTTTAAAAATTTTTTATAGTTATAGGGTCTCACTTTGTTGCCCAGCCTGGTCTCAAACTGCTGGACTCAAGCAATCCTTCCACCTCAGCCTCCCAGAGTGTTGGAATTACAGGCATGAGCCACTGTGCCTGGACCTGAGTTTTTTCTTTATTTTTATTTATTTATTTTTTGAGATGGGGTTTCATTTTGTCACCCAGGCTGGAGTACAGTGATGAAAACATGGCTCACTGCTACCTCAGCCTCCCGGGCTTAATCAGTCCTTCCATTTCAGCCTTCCAGGTAGCTAGAACTACAGGCACAGTTCAGCAGGCCTGGCTAATTTTTGAAGTTTTGTATTTTTTGTGGAGACAGGGTTTCACCATGTTGCCCTAGCTGGTCTCCAACTCCGGAGCTCAAGAAATCCTCCTATCTTGGCCCCACAAAGTGCTGGGATTACAGGCATGAGCCACCTTGCCCAGCTCTGAGCTTTTCTTATATTTATAAAAATGTGAAAAAAAAAAATATATGTATATATATATATGGCAGAGTATCACATGTACAGTTTAAAGAATACTAATCAAATGATACTTATGTACCTACCACCCAGTTTAATAACTAGAATATTTGTACTGTTGACATTGACATGTGCCTTGCTTTTCTTTTCTTTTTTTTTTTTGAGATGGGGTCTACTCTGTCGCCCAGGCTGGAGTGCAGTGGTGCGATCTCGGCTCACTGCAAGCTCCGCTTCCCAGGTTCATGCCATTCTCCTGCCTCAGCCACCCAAGTAGCTGGGACTACAGGTGTCCGCCACCATGCCCGGCTAATTTTTTGTATTTCTTAGTAGAGACAGGGTTTCATCATGTTAGCCAGGATGGTCTCGATCTCCTGACCTCGTGATCCGCCTGCCTTGGCCTCCCAAAGTGCTGGGATTACAGGCATGAGCCACCGCGCCCGGCTGCCTTCCTTTTCTTTATAGATTTACCACCTACCTAAATACAGTTTCAAAATATGAGTAGCAAGCAAAACTAGCTATGTAAGGAAAGGGTAGTAGTGCTGGGAATCTTAGTATTTAGCCTTAGTATTTATGTTGGTCACTTAATATTCCTGATTTCCTTAAAGTACCTATGTGTCCTCCAACTATGCTTGGCATTCCCTCATCCATACTCCTCCAGGATACAACCTTCAGATTTTGCTTGGGGGTGGGGGCTAGGGGTGGGTGCTGTGGTAGAACTAGTTGCCCATGGCTTAGACCTGTGGAGAGTCAACTGCCTCTCTTACAGCTTTCCCCTGATTTGGGGGAACTCACCTTTACCTCTGGTCCCAGTGCCTTTTGAGGATTTTGCGTTGCATATCAACTTAGGCTTTTTCTTTCCCTAAGTCTGTAAGCAACTGCTGCTTACTCTCCAGGTTCTGGAGATGTGTTGCTGTTGTCTCCTTACCATTTCTTTCCAGCATTGTAGGTTTACATGTTTCAAAAGTCCTTTTGTGCTGCTTAATTTTTTTTTTTTTGAGACAGAATCTCACTCTGTCGCCCAGGCTGGAGTACAGTGGTGCCATCTTGGCTCACTGCACACTCTGCCTCCTGGGTTCAAGCAATTCTCCTGCCTCAGCCTCCTGAGTTGCTGGGATTACGGGAACACGCCACCATGCCTGGCCAATTTTTTGTATTTTTGGTAGAGATGGAATTTCAGCATGTTGCCGAGGCTGGTGTTGAACTCCTGGCCTCAAGTGACCCGCTCTCCTTGGGTTCCCAAAGTGCTGGGATTACAGATATGAGCCACTGTGCCCGGCCTTGTGCTGATGATTTTACTTGAGATTCAGGAGGAAGTAAAATTAACATTTGTGTGTTCAGACTGCTGTCTTAACCAGGAACTCACTGCTCTCTTCATGAAACACTATCACTTAGTCCTTGGTGTTTGGGATATCAAACAGAATTCCATTTTGGATGTTGCTTGTTTCCACTTCAGCCTCAAATGCTTGTTCTCCAGATTTTCACACAGCTGGCTCCTTCCGATTGCCTTTAAAAAAATTTGAATTTAAAAAAAAAAAATTTGAATTTATGTATTTATGTTTTTGAGACAGGATCTTGCTTTATTACCCAGGCTGAAGTGCAGTGGTGTGATCCTGGCTCACTCCAGCCTTGACCTCCCAGGCTCAAGTGATCTTTCTGCCTCAGCCTCCTGAGTAGCTTAGACTAGAGGTGTGTACCACCAAGCCCAGCTAATTTTTGTATTTTTTTGTAGAGAGAGGGTTTCATAGTTGGCCAGGCTGGTCTTGAACTCCTGGGCTCAGGTTAACCACCTGCCTTGGCCTACCAAAAGGCTGAGATTATAGGCGTGAGCCACTGGTCTTTTTTTTTTTTTTTTTAAATTTCTTTTATCATTGCTTTAGTTTTCACGAGCTTTTTTGTTTGTTTTGTTGTTTTTCTTAATTATTTTAAGAGTCTTATTTTTATTCCATGGATACCACAGTTTCTCTTATCTCTTTAAGGATAGTAATTACAAAGCCTTTTTCCTTAAGTTTTTAGTCTGTCCCCCTCCCCACCCCCTCTTTCTGCACTAATTTTGTTTCCTCTGAATTCCTTTCTGTTTATCTTGAATCTTGCCTTTCATATTGGAGGCTTTTCTCAAGTGTTTGGTGGTCCTTGGTACGTTATGAGTGAAGTATTTAAAAGTTGATTGTAGGACATGTGTAGTGGCTCATGTCTGTAATCCCAGCACTTCGGGAGGCCAAGGTAGGCGGATCACCTGAGGTTGGGAGTTCCAGACCAGCCTGGCCAACATGGTAAAACCCCATCTCTACTAAAAATATAAAAATCAGCTGGATATGGTGGTGCACTCCTGTTATCTCAGCTGCTCAGGAGGCCAAGGCAGGAGAATCACTTGAACCTGGGAGGCAGAGGTTGCAGTGAGCTGAGATCGCGCCACTGCACTCCAGCCTGGGTGACAGGGCGAGACTGTGTCTCAATAAATAAATAAATAAAGCTGATTGGATGTACAGGAGTATCAAAACATTACTGTTTGTAATGACTCCAAACTGGAAACAACCTAGTTGTGCATCAACAGGAGAATGAATAAACAGATGGTGATATAGTCATACAATGAAATACTATTTAGGAGTGAGAATGAATAAACTACAGCTACATTGCAACAATGTGGATGACTTTCAGAAACAAAATGTTGAATAAAAGAAGCCAGACACAGAAGAGTACACACTGAAGGCTCCTGTTGAAAGTTGAAAAGCTGGCAAAACTAACCCGTGACGTTAGAAGTCAGGATATTGGTTCCCTTTAAGGGTAGATTAGTGGTTAGTGACTGGAAGGGAGCACAAGGGGCCTTCTGAGATGCTGATAATGTTCACTTCCTCAAGCTGGGGCCCTGGTTATGCAAGCGTGTTCACTGTGTGTCATTCCATTGAACTGCATATTAGATTTGTGTGCTTTTTGGTGTGTACACCTCAAATGAAAGTTTATATGAAGTAAAAGAGGAAAAAGATAGTGGAATCTCTGTGTGGGCAGGGTTGGTTTATTGACTGGTACCACAGCATGTGGTCAGACATCCAAGCAACACTCTTTTGTTGGGGACCCTTGAATGTCAGTGTCTGAAGATGGGACATGGGTGTTTTTGTTCTTTCTCCTATGTTTAACTGGAAGTCTTTAGGTTTTCTTTTAAACCTCTTTTATTGAGAAGACAAAGTGTTTTTTAAATTAGATTTGAAAGATACCCAAGATGAGGTAGTGCATCTTCTTTGAGAAACACATTAGTAGAATTGGAATTTCTGTTCATTCACTCATTCATTCAGTGAATACTTAAAAGTCAAGTTGAACAGGGTTTATGTCCTCTTGGAGTATATAAAGCACAGCAGAAATTACCAACATTAAATATAAGTGGGATGAGTTATGGAGCGGAAATAGAGACTGCCATGCAAGCCTAGGATAGAAGAACATAGGGTAGTCTTCAGGGGCAGAGAAGACTTCCCCAAGGAAATGATGTTTTCGTTAGGTGAAGAATGGAAGAATAGGGGAAAATTCACTTTTTCTTAATGAAAATGTCTTGGTGTGAAAGCTTGTATTGATGAAAGTATCTCATCTTGATGTGAAAACCTTTATTCCTGTCTGATCACCCTGTTAATGTGATTTCAGGTGGAGAGTATAGTGAAGATGATGTAAATGAATTAGTGAAGGAAGATGAAGTGGATGGTGAAGAGCAGACACAGAAAACCCAAGGGAAAAAAAGAAAGGCCCAGAGCATTCCAGCCAGGTGATGCTGCCCTCAAGGCCCTTAGAAGTTAGGGGCTATTGTCACAACCATCCTGATTGCTAAGATTTATCTGATGATAGATTTAATGAAGCCAGAGTTTCTAATCCTTTTCTCTTTGAGGGAAACATTTGCTGTTATTTTAGGATTAACTTCTTGGTCTCTGGAAAGCTTTAAACATTTTGAGCTTTAATGTAAAAAAAAAGTTTATAGGTAATATGTATATATGGTTAAAACAGAAAATTCAGTCCCTAAAAAGATGTTTACCCTGTTCCTAGCCCTTGTTGCTTTGTCTCTGAAGAACTATGCTACCAGAGATAGTCTGTGCATGTAAAAGCATATATGTCTATATTTTCTTTCTTCCTTTTTTTTAAGAAAAAAATATAAATAGTAGCATACTCATTTTCTCATTTTCATTTCTCTTTATTTCACATCTCAGAGATGGTACCATGGCAGTATCTCCTCTTTTACATAGTATTACAGTATATGAATAGGCCTTACTTTATTTAGGCTTTCCTGTATTGAGGGATGTTTAGATTGTATCTAGTCTTTACTACAACAAACAAGACTGCAGTGAATATTCTTTTTGTACATGTATACAAAGTATACATAAATACATAAATGTACATAATGTTTACATGTATAAATATATCTGTAAATGAAACATTTAGAAGTGGAATTGTTTGATCTAAGGTTATATATGCAATTAAATTTAAAAAATACAGATATTAGCAAATTGCCTCACATAGGCCTGGTATGGGCTTATGTTCCCATGAAAATTATGAAAATTGTGACAGGCTATTTAACTTAGATAAGGGCATCTTCCATAGAAGTCTTTTACCTCACTTGGGTGTTTCTATCTTCCTGGGCATTGAAGCAAAAAGCAGATTATCATTTATGAAAAGGAAAAAAGAGTTGTAGATATTAGATGGATTCGCCTAAAGTCAAAATAGTCTAAGAAGCAATGTACTCTTATAAGTCTTGGGTCCAGTTTTTTTGTTCTTGAATTTTTTTTTTTTTTTTTTTTTTTTTTTTTTTTTTTTAGATAGAGTCTCGCTCTGTTGCCCAGGGTGGAGTGCAGTGGCGTGATCTCTGTTCGCTCCAACCTCCGCCTCCTGGGTTCAATTCCGTGCTTCAGCCGCTGAGTAGCTGGGATTATAGGCACCCGCCAACACGTCTGGCTAATTTTTGTATTTTTAGTAGAGACGGAGTTTCACCATGTTGGCTAGGCTGGTCTTGAAGTGCTGACCTTGTCTCATCTTGATGTGATGCAAGTTTATATGAAGAAAAAGAGAAAAAAGGTAGTGGAATATCTTTGTGCGCCTTGGCCTCCCAGAGTGCTGGGATTACAGGCGTGAGCCACCTCGCCTGGCCTGTCCTTGAATTTTTCTATATTCCAGCTCTCATGTCTTCCGAAAGTGGGAAGAAACATGGATTTTTTTCTTTTTCCTTGAGAACTCTTGGAAGAAATAGTGTAAATAAAGTTGAGGCTCTTCTCAATAGAACTTGTTCTACAAATGGAGTAGCTTTAAAAAGTCAACAATATCTGGCACATAAAGTATGTTCTTAGAATGTTCCTCCCGGGCAGATTAATTATGTGATTAGGTGATTTGGATGTTTTCTTTGTGAAAACAGCTGATCCTGATTTAGAAGGAGAATGCCATACTTTGATTTTAAGTGACTGGAGAAAAGTTAGCAATAAGAACTCAGTTCTTTTTTTTGTTTGTTTCCAATTCTTTTTTTTTTCTTCTACAAAATTTTAGCTTACTTCTTCCACTCACCTCTTCTACTCATTAATCAGTAGTCCCAGAATTTAAAATGTTCTTGGGTTTACAAGATTGTGTTTTGGGATTGGGAGAGAGATAACTGAAATCATTTTGTGCTGTCTGTCTTTCCTTTTGCCTGTGGCTGCTGGTGATTAGGAAGAGAAAACAAGGTGGCCTCTCATTAGAAGAAGAGGAAGAGGAGGATGCCAATTCAGAATCTGAGGGAAGCAGTAGTGAGGAGGAAGATGAAGCTGCAGAGCAGGAAAAAGGCATTGGATCAGAGGATGCAAGGAAAAAGAAGGAGGACGAACTGTGGGCCAGCTTCCTCAATGATGTGGGACCAAAATCAAAAGTGCCCCCAAGTACACAAGTTAAGGTAAGTTGAGAGATTAATAAGGTGAATGCCTCTCCAGAAATACCCTACATTACTGACATTTGAAGCCTACGGAGATCGACCAGATGCCTTTTGTTAACAACTGTACTAAGTGAAAAGCAAAGCATTTCCTATGGTAGGAGAGTAAGCTTCTCTAATCATATAAATTTCCAATAGGCCTTTAACTAATTAGAGATGAAACATTTAAGAGTAGCTATAGGCTGAGTGTAGTGGCACACGCCAACAATCCCAGCACTTTGGGAGGCTGAGGCAGGTGGATCATTTGAGGTCAGGAGTTTGAGACCAGCCTGGTCAACATGGCGAAACCCTGTCTCTACTAAAAATACAAAAATTAGTTGGGTGTGGTGGTGGTTGCCTATAATCCCAGCTACTTTGGACGCTGAGGCAAGGAGAATCGCTTTAACCTGGGAGGTGGGAAGGTTGCAGTGAGCCAAGATTGTGTTACTGCGCTCCAGCTTGGGCAACAGAGTGAGACACTGTCTCAAAGAAAAAAAATAATAAAAAGTAGCTATAAACAATATGGTTCATCTTTTGGTGAAACTGATTACGTTTCTTGTTTTTTTTTGTAGAAAGGAGAGGAGACTGAAGAGACAAGTTCAAGTAAATTGTTGGTAAAAGCAGAAGAGCTAGAGAAACCTAAAGAAACAGAAAAAGTTAAAATCACCAAGGTGTTTGATTTTGCTGGTGAAGAAGTACGGTAAGTTTCACAAACTTTTCCAGGTTTCACAAACTTTGAAACTAGTGTGAGCATCTCTCTCTAACTGGTGTTAGCCATCTATCCTCATTTCAATCCATCATAATATTTTGGGAGAGTTATATTTGAACTCAAGGAAAATTGGCTGTATAAATTATCAGGGAGCATGAGAAAGGTCTTTTCACATATAGCAGTGTAGTTTTTGAGCTTTACGAAGTGGTCAGCTGAACAGAAGCAAGGGAATATAAGAGTTAAGTGTTTTGTTCCACTTGATCATTGCCATATTTTGTGACTTTTGGTAAGTCATGTTTCCCTTTATTACTTTCCTTGATTGCAATCTGAGCCCCATTGAAGTCTGAAATCAGATAAGAAAATACAAGGAGACAAATTTGGTTTCAGTATTATTTTCTTTTTCCGAAACGGAGTCTTGCTCTGTAGCCCAGGCTAGAATGCAGTGGCATGATCTCGGCTCACTGCAACCTCCACCTCCCGTATCCCATTTCAAGCAATTCTCCTGCCTCAGCCTCCCGAGTAGCTGGGATTACAGGCACACGCCACTATACCCAGCTAATTTTTTTGTAGTTTTTTTGTTTTGTTTTGTTTTGTTTTTGTTTTTGTGTTTTTTTAGATGGAGTTTCACTTCTGTTGCCCAGGCTGGAATGCAGAGTGTGATCTCAGCTCATTGCAATCTCCACCTCCCAGGTTCAAGCAGTTCTCCTTCCTCAGCCTCTCGAGTAGCTGGGATTGCAGGCGTGTGCCACCATGCCCAGCTAATTTTTGTGTTTTTAGTAGAGATGGGGTTTCGCCATGTTGGCCAGGCTGGTCTTGAACCCCTGACCTCAGGTGATCCACCTGCCTCGGCCTCCCGAAGTGCTAGGATTACAGGCATTAGCCGCCACGCCCGGCCTTTTTTTTTTTTTTGAGACAGAGTCTTGCTCCGTCGCCCAAGCAGGAGTACAGTGGCGTGATCTTGGCTCACTGCAAGCTCCACCTCCCGGGTTCACGCCATTCTCCTGCCTCAGCCTCCCGAGTAGCTGGGACTACGGGTGCTTGCCACCACGCCCTGCTAATTTTTTTATATTTTTAGTAGAGACGGGGTTTCACTGTGTTAGTCAGGATGATCTTGGATCTCCTGACCTCAAGTGGTCCGCCCGCCTCGGCCTCTGAAAGTGCTGGGATTACAGGTGTGAGCCACAGTGCCTGGCCATTTTTTTGTAGTTTTAGTAGAGACGGGGTTTCACCATGTTGGCCAGGCTGGTCTTGAACTCCTGACCTCGTGATCCACCTGCCTCGGCCTCACAAAGTGCTGAGATTATAGGCGTGAGCCACCGTGCCCTGCCTCAATATTATTTTCTTACCTTAATAATGTTTTTCTGATTGAGTAATAAGGTTTATTTACCATAGGGTAAGTAGGGGCTTAATGCCTTGACCAGGTTAGCCTCCTGGTTGTTAGGTAAGAGCCACATACCTGTAATTTCCCCTCCCCCATTTATTTCAATTTTATTATGTGAAAATAGCAGATTTGTAATTTAGAGCTAAATGAGAACAGAGAAAGTGCCAATCAATAAATTTATAGGCAGTCACATTGATTTTCATTGGCAGTAATTAATTAGACCTGTAGGCTCTCTGAAAATACAATTTTCCCTAAAATTGTTATTCTTAAAAATAATGTTTTCAACAATTATTTATCTAGTGAAGGTATATTTATGAAAAAATTGACATTATCAGTTTTTTTGTTTTGTGTTTGTTTTTGTTTTTGTTTGAGAAAGGGTCTTGCTGTGTTGCCTAGGCTGTTCTTGAACACCTGGGCTCAAGCGATCCTCCAGCCTCGGCCTCTTAAGTAACTGGGACTTCAGGGTTGTACTACTCTCCCTGGCCATTATCACTTTTATAAATGGTATGGAACAAAACTTTTTATTATTAAAAATTTCTCTCTGACATCATCTTCTTCTGAAAAAAATGTCACACTTATAGAAATGTTGCAAGAATAGTGTTATAACAAACACCTACATACCTATCATCCAGATTCACCACTGGTTAATGTATTGCCTCTTTCTCACCATTTGTATCTGGGTTTTTCTTTTGTTTTGACTGAACCATTTGAGATTTACTTGTAGACATTGTGACACCTCAGCCTTTAATACTTTAGCACATATCTTCTACAACCAAGGGCATTCTCCATTGTAACACAGTATAACTCTCATATTCAGTAAAGTTAACATTAGAACAGATTGCTATCTATGGTGAAGGACCCCAACTTAAAATTTTCAATCTATTGCAGACCAGTACTTTTCTAAAAACACAATACAAAGGAATTACTAGAAAAACAAATATAAAAGTTAACTAACGTTTTGCTAAGATTCAGCAGTTACCCTACTACCTCTCTTTGTGGCCGTGGGGCTCAGGCTGCAGCAACACAGCACTGTGTGCGTATGACTGGGGCCACCTGCCCCCTCCAAGTGTGGGCCTTTTAACCTCTGTCGACAGGTGTGGGGGGAAAAAAAGGATTTAATAGACATAACATTACATTTCAATGCATGTGGTCAAAACGAACCACAGACAGGAAAAAGGAAAGAATTATGTAACTATACAGGCTGTTCATTGAAAGTGTTAATATACGGGGAATGACTATTACCTTTTATTCTGTTATTAAGACAAAAAGCTGGCCTGCATGGTGGCTCATTCCTATAATCCCAGCACTTTGGGAGGCCAAGGTGGGTGGATCGCTTGAGGTCAGGAGTTCGAGACTAGCCTGAGCAACATGGTGAAACCCCATCTCTACTAAAAATACAAAAATTAGCCAGGTGTGGTGGTGCACATCTGTAATCCCAGCTACTTGGGAGGCTGAGGCAGGAGAATCACTTGAATCCGGTAGGCAGAGGTTTCAGTAAGCCGAGATCGCACCACTGCACTCCAGCCTGGGCAACAGAGCGAGACTCTGTCTCAAAACAAAAAAACAAAAAGCTGAGTAAAATATCAATTCTCAGTATTAAATGTCAGACACACACTTTGAATGAGCACTATTTTGTTTTTATTACTATTATTTTTTTGAGATAGAGTCTTGATCTGTCACCCAGGCTAGAGTACAGTGGCATGATCTCGGCTATCTGCAACCTCCGCCTCCCCAGTTCAAGTGATTCTCTTGCTTCAGCCTCCCGAGTGGCTGGCATTACAGGTGCCTTCCACCATGCCTGGCTAATTTTTGTGTTTTTAGTAGAGATGGGGTTTCACCGAGTTGACCAGGCTCATCTTGAAATCTTGACCTTATGATCCACCCTCCTCGGCCTCCCAAAGTGCTAGAATTACAGGCGTTAGCCACTGCACCCGGCCCACTGTTTATATTAATATTTAAAGTTTTAATTGTGATGAAAGACCTTATTTCTTTCTTGTTAATCTAAGTTGTATTGATGTCTCTGCTCCTCCTGGTGGATAATTTATATGTAAATTATTTCTTCGTTGGTTTTCTCCTTCCTGCCTTCCGTCCACCATTCCATCTTTCACACAATTTTTTTTTTAACATGGGATCTGCCAGGGTGTAACACAGATATTTTCATGGGATCAGAAGTATACATTTTAAAGCAGTTTCATTTAGTTCAGAGTTTTCGGTTTTTGCCTTTATCCAGAATGAATCTGGATAAAAGTAAAAAATGTACTGTGTTTCGTTTCCTTTCCTTCCTTTCCTTCCCTTCCTTCCTTCCCTCCTTCCCTCCCTCCCTCCCTTCCTTCCTTCCTTCAGTCTCCCTCCCTCCCTTCCTTTCTTTCTTTTTTTTTTTTTTTTTTGAGACAGAGTCTCTGTTTGTCACCCAAGCTGGAGTGCAGTGACACAGTCTCAGCTCGCTACAGCCTCAACCTTCAGGACTCAAGTCATTCTCCCACTTCAGCCTCCCGAGTGGGTTAGACTACAGGCATATACCACCACGCTTGGCTAATTTTTGTATTTTCTGTAGAGATGGGTTTCACCATTTTGCCTAGGCTGGTCTCGAACTTCTGGGCTGAAGTGATCCTTCTGCCTTCGCCTCCCAAAGTGCTGGGATTGCAGGTGTGAGCCACTGCACCCTGCCTGTGATACTGTGTTTTCAAAGTTTATATTAAATGCTTCATTAGTAGCCATTTTCAGTAATTTATCCTGTCAAGTTATAATTAAATTTAAGTTATATTTTAGTGAAAGAAAAAAGGAATTCTGGAAGCCCGAATTTCCTATACATGAATTTTTTTTTTTTTTTGAGACAGGGTCTTGCTCTGTCGTTCACGCTAGCCTCAACCAACCACAAGGCTCAATTGATTTCCCCCGACCTCAGCCTCCTGAGTAACTGGGGCTACATGTATATGCCACCCGTGCCCATCTAACTTTTAAAATTGTTTTGTAGTGATGTCGTCTCACTGTGTTGCCCAGGCTGCTCTTGAACTCCTGGGCTCAAGCGATCCTGCTGCCTTGGCCCCCCAAAGTGCTGGGATTACAAATGTGAGCCACCACACCCAGCCATGTGTGAATATTTTTTTAATAGAAAATACAATTCAAAACATTCTATGAAACATATTAATTTATAGAAACACTAGTTTTCTAGGCTTCTAACTTTCATTTTTACCCGTATAATTTATTTGCTACTGAAAAACATGTTAAATTACTTTCTTGCCTGGAACTACTAGGATTATTTTTTGATTTTTAGAGACAGGAGCTATCTCACTCTGTCACCCAGGTTGGAGTGTGGTTGTGCAATCATTGTTTACTGTAATCTTGAACTCACCGACTCAAGTGATCCTTCCATTTCAGCCTCCCACCACAGCCTTCTAAGTGAACATCACCACAACTAGCTAATTATTTTATTTCATTTATTTGTTTGCTTGTTTATCTATCTATCTATCTATCTATCTATCTATCTATCTATCTATCTATCTGTCTGTCTGTCTGTCTATTTGAGACGGAGTCTCTGTTGTCCAAGCTGGAGTGCAGTGGCATGATCTCGGCTCACTACAACCTCTGCCTCCCAGGTTCAGATGATTCT